GCGATGCCTGAGCGTGAACGCGCATGAAGCAGCCTGCTCGACCCGAGCATCTCTCTTTTTCTGTGATTTTACAGAAAATCAGGCAATCACAGTAAAAATGCCAGGGCTCATTCTACAGGACCAGGGCATTGCAGGAGAATGTATGAAGAAGACATTTATTATTTCTATACATGTTTTGGCTGTCAAACTTCCATAATGTCCCTTTAACAAAGCCAACATAAAGGTCAGAGGTCAAATGCTGGAAGGACTTTGCATTTCAGTTTTAACAATAAGCCAACTAAAGGTGCGGTCCAGAACACCGATAGCCCAGGTAGGTCTTAGGTGAGACACCACCTCTGGTGATTACTGGCTACCGACAATAACGTAGGAAGCAAATCCCGTCACATCAGATTATTCAGAAGAGTTCAAGTTAAGGAGAAGAATTTCAGAAGATTTAGTTTATTTATTCTCGGAAAACGCAGAGAAGGTAAATGTTACGTTATAAACCACCTCTATGATTTAGAGCATTTCATGAACAGCATGTCCCACAGACTTTAAATCAAGTCAGTGACAAAAAAGGGTTTTCTGCTGTTTCACTGGACTTTCTGTTGCTTTTCCACAAAATCAGGCTCACAAACAACTGGACTCAGGAGAGAGCAGGACCGGTGTCGGCCACACACCTTTGGTTTCAGATATGAACTTTCAAACAATGGACACCCTCAGGCTCCCTGTGCAGGTGTGACCTGCATCTGATACGTTGTTTTTTCTTCTTAGGCAATGCAAAAAAAGCCGGAGTGGCCCAGGTGCAGCTTTTGTTGGTGTGTGACTTCTGCCAGTGGAGCAGCTTTCACAACCCACCCTGGGAATAAAGCTGAGAGCTTTAAACGACCACGGTTCAGTCCGCACACAGAACCCGAACACGTTTACAGTGGGAACGGTTTTATGACCCAGAACTGTGTCAGCTCTGAAGAAAACAGGAAACAGGGAAGCTATGAATCTTTTCCCATAAACCGGAAAAACGTGGCAGGTGTGAATTCAGCCTGACATTAGAGATGGAGTCGAACCAAAAGCAGAAAGCGGTGACTCTGAGACTGTCAGAGGTGATACGTCTGTGCTATTTGAGAGAAAAGTTTGTTTTTGTTTAAAATTCACCATTTTGAACAAGAATCGGTGATGCCTGGTGCACAAACACACCCAGCTGTGCACCACGGTATGAATGAAGTGCATAAAAAACAAAAATGTATAGAGTAAAGAGTGCAGACGTGCAGGATGAGGGATGTTTCCCATTAAAGAGTAAAGCAGGGCAGATATGAGGAGCTGGAATGTGTTCGTGTGAAGGATGCTCTGGTTAGCGGCTGATGTCGGGTCTCTGTAGGTCTGCAGGAGAAGAGCGGGGAGCATTTAAGCGCTGGGTGGCATCGGTATCAAATGAATTCATTTTAAAAACTATCATGGATTTTGGGTGCAGAAGCGAATCAGCCTAAACACGTGTGATGCGATTTGTTACGGACGTGAAGTCGTGTTTTACACTCTCTACCGGCACTTTGTAATTAAAATATGAAAAGCAATTCATGCAGCGTGGGATAAACGAGTGAAACTTGAGACGGCGGGCCTCCACACGTGCAGATGTTGCCTGGAGTACATCTGTCTAATGTAAATACACCAATGAGGTCAAGCCTCGTCAAAGCACATTAAGATTACCTGTTGCGTAAACAGTTTCAAAGAGACGCAGCATTAAGCGGCTTTCATTTTAAACAGAGGGGAAATAAACATCCCCCAGGTCCCGGTTTTCCAACAGAGAGAGACGGGAATAGATCAGCAACTTTAGTGAAGCGCATGCCGACACCATTGTACAACACTCGTGTATTAATTAGCATTTAAGGAGACCTTCTAACGGCTGTAGACATGAGCTAGCTGCAGCTCTTGTGTGGTAGGACCTTCTGGGAGGGGTGATAAGGGTTAGACGGGAAAAGCTTCTGCTGTTTCTGCTTTCCTGCACTTTATTTGTCTCGTAGCTGCAAAAACCAGCAGCAACAAAACTCCTTTTGCCTGTCCTGCATCTCGGAAGTGAATTACAGCTCATCAGAGCAAACGTCCATCCCTGCTCCACTTCAGACACGGCAGCCCACTCAGACGGAGGAACAACGGAGAATTCTGCTTCTTCCTGGAGGAGAAACTCCTGAGCAGAGTGTCTCAGGCTTGGAAGTGCACACACTCATCCAAACTGCCTTCCCACTCTGTTGCCAAGTGGCCTGGGGGTCTACCAGAGGTCACGCTCTGATGGAGCCAAATGCTGCACTCATCAGCTGCACCTGGAGACTCTCAGCACAAAATCATACGATTGGTGAGAAGATATCGCTGCATCCCCACCAAAGCACTTTACTGGCTGAAAGGAGACGTATTAATGGTTTGTAGATTTCTGGGTCCAAATTGGGCTGAACTTGGATCAGAAGCAGAAGCGGAGCAGCTGAGACTGGCAATGACACAAACAAATGGTCAACCTAAGAGTCAGGAAGTAGTGGGAACAGCTAAACGTTTGTTTATTTTTATGATGAAAAAGTCTTTTTTGCCTGTTTGAAATGAGTGTCTGAGAATAATTCCCATTTCACGGTTGGTACGTAGCTTCCCGAACAAATGGAGATCACATCCAACAGTATTGATGAGCTAACCGCTAGTCTGAGTGCTGCAGACCATCAAACCGCCCAAATAGCACCTAAAGCTGCTTTCTTATGGAAATGCCTGTTTGAAATTTTCATTTGGTGTAAAAACTTCCTCTGCCTTTTTTTTTCGGGGGGGGGGGGGGGGGGGGGTGTCATAATAATTCATGTTGTGAACTGTTCAAGCATGTTAGGTGAATGAAGTCTTGGTGAACCCTCTCCTGACCACTGAATCAACACGTTTCACCCTAAACGAGCCGGTCTTCATCTGTGCATCTGATGTATTTAGTGATTTCTGTTACAGTGCTCAGCATAAATGAGTACTCTTTAAAAAGAGAGTCCCAGTAGTCTTCATCTCTGTTAGCATGGGCCCTAGCACATCCTAGATGTGCGTGGGCTTTAGGAGAGGCTTCCTTTGTGGACGATACCCATGCATGTCATTCCTCTGCAGGGTGCGCCATACGTTGTCATGGGAAACAGTCACTCCAGTCTGGCTTTCTACTGCTTTAGCTAGCTGCAGTGAACTTGCAGGGTGATTTTCTTCAACCCTTCTCATCAGAAGATGCTCCTGTCCAGATGTTAACTTCCGTGGACAGCCTGGACGTCTCTGTGAGATGGTTGCATTTCCGTCTTTCTCAAATTGTTCGATTGCTTTTGCTACAGTGTTGCAACTGATATGTAAAGTTTTGCTGATCTTCTTGTAGCCCTCACCTTTTTGTGTAAAGAAATGATTTCCTTTCTCAGATTTTGTGACGTTTCTCTTCCATGTGGAGCTGTTGCTGACAGCATGAAATGGGAAGGGCCTTTCAGTAATGTTTGTTTGTAGTCACCTGTCTGCTGCTAGTATGGCATCTCATAGAAAGCGTTGATTCTGAAAGGAAACTACTGGTTTTCGGATAAATGTGGTGGGGTTTACTCATTTATCCTGAGAAGTGTAAATACTAAAAACCAAATCAGGACCAGAGTCGTCCCAAGGACCTTCACACAGTAAGCAATACAGGTCAGGTCATTAAGCCAATCAGTAACAAGTTTCCTATATAAGGAACCCAGCAGGTTGCATCGAGTCACTGACTAGTGTCAAGAGTCTTTACGGCAATCCTCATACTAAGCAAGCATGCAGCGACAGTGGAGAGGAAAACTCCCTTTTAACAGGAAGAAACCTCAAGAGGATCCTGGCTCAGTATAAGCAGCCATCCTCCACGGCTCACTGGGGATGGAGAAGACAGAGCAGACACACACACACACGCACACACACACACACATGCACGCATGTACGCACGCACACACTATTCGGTATATATTGTACTTACTATTGTTTTGTTTTAGGGGACCTTTTATATTTAGAAGTATTATTGTATTGTGCACCAAGGGAGTGGCACTCAAATTTCGTTGTATCCTGTACAATGACAATAAAGGCTATTATTATTATTATTATTGCACACACACACACACGCACACACACAAAGCAGTGTTTCAATGGTTACATTGTGATTTCTTAGTAAATATTCTATGTGGTGAGAGATAAACTTTATTGTATTTATCCTAGTGAATCTATAATTAAACGGGTAAACTAGTAGTAGCACAATGAAACACTTACTGAAACACAAATGTAAACTAAATGGAAAACACTCCAAATTTTTGCTGACAGCAACTAAATAAAAGAAGCGTAGGAACAGGAGAAAAGAGGAATGTTTCCACATAACCTCGCATCATTTCTGAAGACTCCACATGGGCCTGCTGGGGCAGTCCCAGTGCATACTGGGACTGGTAGTTTTAGTACTTGTACTGAACACCCACCAGTTGGTCATGCAGGTGACTTCAGTGCTCTGAAGTGATCCCACTGAATGTTGAGCAGGCAGACAATGGAAGCTATTGTGATCATTTAGACACAACAGAGGCTGGGTGGTCACTACTTACAGGTACATTACTGGTGATGATGTAAATTAGGAATGACATGGCTCATCCCTAAAGGTCAACTGGTTTCCATTATAACACACAAGATTTGGCGCTTGAGCAGTTTTAGTTTCTGCAACAGCAGAGATGTTTCCAGACGGGTTATTTCTCCGTCTTTACCAGAAGAGTAACTCGTTAAGGTTTAACAAAGCTGAAGAACTTGCATGTTTCTCTGACTTGAGGCTGTCAAACGCATCTTCAAAAACAGGAAAATCCGCTAAATCAGGGAAGTTTTATGGTTGGGAACGACAGGCAGCTGGCTCTGCTGGGGAGGGACTGGAGCGGTGAGGGAGGGGCACTTCCACTCAACTTGACACAGTATGGATTTTGTTTCCATTCTAATGGAATTGCAGGAATATTTGAGGGGAATCCCATTACGTAGCAATTGGAGTGCTGTAATAATGTACTCACAGTACTTTTCCCACTGCGGTTGGCCTCTTCCCGCTCTGCCAGGGCCTTCAGGAAGTTATCTTTGAGTTCTTTTCCTGTACTTGCCAGTGTCCTGGAAAACACAACACTCCATGAAATGTTTCTCCTACGCTGAGAAAAAAAATCATGTAAAGACTTAGGCTTCTTTATTTATTGCAGCTTTGTGCTCCATCCTGGCATTTAGAGGGCTCTGGATGATCTCTGCTGAAACAGGATTAGATAACAATCCGCCCAGTGAGCTCCTGCAACCCTCCTAAACTCTGAACACTCACAAATCCTCCACAAGTTTGACGTTAGAAAATAGATTGAATCGCTTTTGTTGTCAATGAGTGAAACTAGAAATGGCTTTGCATGATACTGAGGCAGCTTTTTACACTCAGGCCAGCGCGTTTCCATAGAAACACAAATGTTGAAGCATGCGAGCGTATCCACACCTGTAAAAACACTGGCACTGATATTTGAACAGTTCACACTGCAGTACGAGCAACAGAACTCTGGCACGCATCCACCATCGACGGGGCAAAACATCCATCAGATTCACACCAAGCTGACATTTAACAGCAGTAAACAGGTCACTGGTGACCTTTGACCTGTGGTCAGGAATCCAGAAAAAAACCCACAGAAGGCATTTATTAAATTAGAGGTTCAAAACAGCAGGCAAACAGTCCCAACTGCAGCTGTTGCACAATTTATACGAGTGTAAAGTAACAGGAACACAATTTTAAATGAAATGATGAAATAAATCAGTCTAAAGCCTAATTTATACGTCGGGACGGACCACGCCACGCCATTATCCGTCCTAGTGAGGGCTCTCCAGCAGGCTCATGAGGACGGACGGAGCCAAGCTCTCTTTTCTAAACATCCGTCCATCGAGACGGAGAACGCAAGCTTGTGATTAGTCACACCCTACAGCGCCGCCATTTCTCCTTAAAAAACATGAGAGCCGAGGATATCTAGAGGCAGACACGGAGAAGCTTGAAGACTTCCTCGTGGAAAAACTCTAAAATGTTAAAGTTTCATCCCCCCGTGACTGGAGGAGTGAAAAGATGCGCAGCAAGTGTTTTATTTGTGGACGGAAATGACGGGAAACGTGGGTTTAAATGTGGGGAGTGCATGGGAAGGTGGAGGAGGATGAGGGACAAATTTGTCTGTGTTAAAAAGTCTCTGAAAAAAACACAATAAAAACACACCATCTTGGACCGGTACATGACAGGATACCACAGAACAGCGCTGCGCCCTCTGGTGTCCTGGCGGGGAATTGCTTTGCAACACTCCCCAGGAGACGGAGACGTCTAAGGGCAGAACGTCTGTGCATGTCTGTCTCTCCCTGGTAGAGCCGATGGAGAACTATAAATAAAGCCTGATTCATGCTTCTCCGTCAGTTCCGCAAGGGACAGACACACATGGACGGAGACATTTTGCCCTTATACTTCTCCATCTCCTGGGGAGTGTTGCAAAGCAATTCCCCACCAGGACAACAGGGGGCGCAGCGCTGTTTTGTGGTATCCTGTCATGTATCGGTCCAAGATAGTGTGTTTATATTATGGTTTTTTGTATATAAGAGACCTTTCAACACGGACAAATTTGTCTCTCATTCTACTCCACTTCTTCATGCGCTCGCCACCTCTAAACCCACGTTTCCTGTCATTTCCGTCCACAAATAAAACACTTGCTGCGTATCTTTTCACTCCTCCAGTCACGGGGGGGCAAAACTTTAACATTTTAGAGTTTTTTCGCGAGGTATTCTTCAAGCTTCTCCGTGTCTGCCGCTAGTTATCCTCGGCTCTCTTTATGTTTTTGAGGGCGCGATGGCAGCGGTGTAGACAACAGCTGTGCTCTGACCAATCACAAGCTTGCGTTCTCCGTCTCGTTCGCATATATGATGTCACCACATAAGCTCCTCCCCCCTAGCATAGCTGCTACTCACCACATGACCAGATTTATGGTGGTTCTTTCATCCTGTGGGACGTTTGCTGAACTTACAACCCTTGTCCCTCAGTTTTCTCCGTGTCTGGTTTGATGACGTCACTTTGGTGAAGCGCATTTGTAGTCCTGGACTTATTTTCACACAAAACCTAAAATAGCGTTCCCCCGTTTGAAAATAAACGTGTTCTTGGTATCAAAATGCTTGTTTAAAATTCACGGACATCATGAATGAAATCCATGGTACAAAACAAGCGGGTTGGAAAATGGCGTTTTTAGCTCAGCTGACTTGCATTCGTTTGTTCGTTATTCCCGGGACCAGTGGTGCGGAAGTGGTTTAGGCTCCCTTTATGTTTTATTAATAATTAAAGAATTTAGTTCAAGTGAGCCACCTTGTGGTTTTGATCTTGACAGGGGCTACATTAAAAAAAATGTCTCTTCTTCTTCTGTAGCCAACATGTTCATCATTTCCCATTAAAAGGCTAACAGCAGCACTTTTTACTTTCTGAAGAGAAGAGCCACTAATCCCAATAAATGGCTTTTAGAGTAATCCCGTCTGGATTATGGATGTGAAGAAAGAAAGGGCTTCATTTTCACAAACTGCTTTGAAGCCACTTCTGTTCCCAGATTAGTCTGTTTAATAGTAAGAGCGCATTCATGTAGCGCCTTCTTGGGTTCTACAACCGCCCAAGACGCTTCACAACACATCCATTCACACACTGGTGATGATGAGCTACACCGTAGCCACAGTTGCCCTGGGGCACACCGACAGGTGCTACCGGTCTCTTTGACAACCAGTGGGTCAGGAGAGTGAAGTGTCTTGCCATCGAATGCCACAGATGGGGCTGGAACCTGCAACCCTCCGGTTACGGAGCGAGCACTTGGTCCCTCTGCCGCCGTCACCTGTAGTTTAAATACTGACTGAAAGCATCAAGTTCTCTGTTTACATTTTAATGGGCAGCTAAAGGGAAGTAGCTCAGGAGGTAGAGCGGGTTGTCCAGTGATCTGGAGAGAATTCTGCTGTTGTGCCCTTGGGCAAGACACTTAACCCTCCCCGCCTGCTGGTGGTGGTCAGAGGGACCGGTGGTGACAGTGCTGGGAAGTCTCACCTCTGTCAGCGCGCCCCAGGGCAGCTGTGGCTACATCGTAGCTCATCCAGGGTGTGAATGGGTGAATGACACACTAGTGTAAAGCACTTTAGAGTCCTTACTATGAAAGGAACTATACAAGTGAGGGTCATTTATCATGATTACATTATTAAAGTTTTCTAATTTAACTCAAAAACACTTTATTAGTCCCAGAGGCACATGATGTGTTGTCGTAACTCATTCTTCTAAACAATAAATAATAAGTAGAAACAATAATGATCTCAGCTAATATCTTCAGAGTGTTTAAAGATGCTGATGGCTGTGGGTAGGAAGGATCTCCTGTAGCTGTCTGGATTACAGCAGGTCTGTAGAAGCCTGAAGGTGCTGCCTTAGTCCAGGTCCACTTCCTGTTCTGTCCAAAGAATAGTCCAGTTTAATCCCACATGAGCTGCTCTTCAACTTCCATTTCACACCAAAATTCAGCCTTTTGCCTGATTTAACATCAGAGTGAAGGAGAGAAGGGTTTGAATGTCTCATTTACTAGAACTTGGACCAGGATTGTAATTTATACTTGCAGACTGGCCTGTGCCCCGTTATGAAAGTCTTTCAGGAATCACACGGTGGTAAAACTGCACGGACGGCACATATTTGGAGGCTAAAGCCTCACTTCATCTTCCGAGTGAGGGAAAGTTTGCTGCTGGGTCATGGGGGCCGAGGCCCCAAAGTAAACACAGGTGTTGAGGAGCCCAGTGGCTGGTGTTACCCCATCCAGTAGCTGAAGCAATACACACACACACACACACACACACACACACACACACACATGCACAAACGCACGCAAACACACACGTACACACACGCACAAACGCACGCACACGCACAGACACACATGCACGCACACACGCACATTCACACACACACATTCTCACACACACACACACACACACACACACACACACACACACACACACAGGGAGCACTGTAAGTCAGGTAGCAGATTTCTTATCAAGACTCATAGGAAGCATACGAACCTGTAATTAACGTTGTGATCAGTGACTAATAACTGGGCCTGAGGCCGACTGATGCATTCGTGTGTTTTAGGTGTCTCGTTTCTGCATGGCGGTGGAGCGGGGGGGCAGCAGAGTGAGTAAAAACAAGGTGTGAGGTGAAGAGCCCAACTAGTTTGTTGTCTTAAAGGAAACGTCCAGCTCGTCCCCATGGCTGCCTGGTGGGGTCCGGGCCCCTAGGCTCTGTCGGTGTGGCTTTTTGTCCCCCACCTCTTCCTTTCTTCTCCCCCTTTCTCTTTCATTTCCGTCTCCGTGTCCGTTGGAATTTAAAGCAACGGGAGCATTTCTAATAAAGATTTTGCTACCAGGCAGGGCATTAAAAAGCAAACGTCTGGCCATTTTGAACTGCTTTAGAGGAAATCTAATGGATGATTTCAGTTTGTTTGGAGAAATAACTTGTCCATCAGGACCATCGACATATATACTGGACAATTTGTGTCCATATGCTCCAATTCTAAGTTTTTGTGTCAAAATGGGAGGTGGCCACCTCCCATTTTTCTTAAAAAATGTGTTATTGGAGCTATGGAAACCCATTGTCCATATATGTATATGTTGATGGTGAAAACAAAACCCTTCAGATGGTTTCTGGTTTTCCACGAGCCTTTGGAGATCTTTGTCAGAAAAACACATCTTTATTATTTAGTTGCACCAAATAATCAGAATTATAGGAAACTGGGATACTTTCACATAGCTTTACTTTTTTATTGTATGTTTTTATCACTTGTCTGTCTGTTGTGAAGCAGCAGAAAGTCATAGAGATGAATAAAGTATTATTCTATTCTATAAGAAATCCAACTTTTCTCTTTTCAAATAGACAAAAATATTTCAGCTGCTTTCTGTCTGTGTGTTAAATAAACTCAAACGTTGATCATAAAGTGTTTTAGCGTGAGAATAAAGTGATAAAAGAGCCGTTTATGAGGTGTGAATTAAAGACCACAGAAAGGACTGAGTGTCCTAAACTGTCACAGAAAAAGTGACAGATGACTAAAAACGTG